TCACGGCTGCGGCCTGGTGCTTCGCCCAGAAGGCAAGCAATGCAAGCCCAGGGCTGCGGCCTGGTGCCTTGCATGCGAGAGGGAGCCCACGGCTGCGGCCTGGTGCTTCGCTCGCAACGCATATAGATAAGTAAATACACAAACAAATGAATAAATAGATAAATACATGTATATATATATATAGATATAACCCTAAACCATAAACCTCCTTTGCATCTGCCATGCTTTGAGGAGCCAAAGAAGGCAGCAGCCACGTCGAAGGAACCGGCTTGAGCAGGAAAAGCTGCTGCAGGCAGGCTTTCAAGCAAGAGCTTTCAGCACCTCAAACTGCGACTTCCAGGCCGGAACAGAGCCGAAAAAACTCTGGGATTTCAGGCCCCCCCAAAAACCGGACAAACACATTTTTTGATTTCGGCCGGGAGCCCAAAAACACATATGTGTTTGGGGCTCCTCCCTACTAAATATACATTGACCGACCCACAAACACATGCCCTTTTTAATGAGTCCACCGGCCAAATCACAAACACAAAAAACACACAAAAACTACAAAAAAACACATTCTCATTTTTAGCTTTTCGGCTGTTTTTTTCGGCAAGGAAAAGCTTCAAGAGCAGAGCCCCGACAGTTTTTTTCCTGCCTTGGGATTGAAGCTTCGATGACTTCCCGGTAAGGACCGGCCCGGGCGCAATGCGCCGAAAAAAAAGACCTCCTGGAAACGGTGTCATGTTCAGGACCCTTGTCGTCTAGAACTTCGCAGGAAAGGCATGGGGAAGATTCGTGCTGCAGCCGTTTCTTTTCAGGTTCAAGTATGGAAGCTTCTAGCAGCACCCCAGGCTGCCGGGCCCTGCTGGTGGATCCCAACCAGAGGAACTGTTGCAGTCGCATCTTTTGGTGTGCCGACCGCGCTGCAAGTACGGTCGGCACACCAAAAGATGCAAAACAGTGCAGCTGGGTGATGGCTACAAGAAGTGCCGCCGTTGCGACCGGCAGGCAGGCCCTGGATACAGGGTGTGCTGTGGACTGTGCAGGGAGGGGCTGCACAGCCCTGGCTGCGACATGCGACGAGCAATGCGACAACCTGCAGTCTCCACCCGAAAAGGTCTCGACTTGAATGCCATGGACTAGACCTCGGCGGCCTGCCAACAGAAAAAAAGTGAGCAGCCCTTTAGTGGACTCGCCTCTAAAACCTTTTCGCCTTCGAGCCGCTGCAACTGCAGAGCTTCGCAAGACAGAACATACTAGCATGCTACGTTTTGCTGACATGCAGCATCCAAGACTTCCTCAATGGCAGTGTCAAAAGGTGGCCGCATCGTCTGCCTGCCATGAAAAAGTCCCCAATCGGCAGGCTTTTCAATTGAAATCCATGCTTCAGATGCACATTGCATGCATTGTCCAAAAAATAGTGACATTAAATAGAACAGTAAAACATATAGGAAAACACATAGCAAAAAAGATACAAAAAGATATGAAAAGTTATAAAAAGTTATCAAACTTAGCATATCTTTTTTATAACTCCTTTACAAGCGACTTGGCTAAGTCATTCCTAACTCTCTGGTATCTTTTTGTAAGTGTCTTACAAGAACCGCAACTCTTTTATAATATGGTTATAAAGGGGGGTTCACCCTGTACTACTATACTACTATACTACTATTACCAGTACTATTACTCCTCCTGCTGCTGCTGCTTCTGCTACTGCTACTACTACTATGCAGGATCTCGGCTGGAGCCTCAGTGGAAGTGTAGGACCTGCGGCGAGGGTTAATGGCGAATTTTCTCTGCTGCTGCTTGCTTTTGACTTTCGCCCGCATCTGGCCAGTCGCATGGGTCCCAAGTCCCATGGCGGTCGCAGCAGCAAAGAACGCCGACGACTGAAGAAGCGACTGTAGACCTGAGGCTTGCTGCTGGAGCGAAACGAATTGATTCTGGCGATGGAACAGCTTTTTTTTTCTTGGACGGCCAAAAGAGCTTTTAGAAGAGCGAGACAACGAGCTGCAGTCAATGGTGGCACTTTTTATAAAGGGCGATGGCACACCATAGCAATGCTGGGCTCGACCAGCGAGCTCAGGCCAGCGGATAGACTTTGGGTGTCGTGGGGAGCAGGAGAGTGCTAGATATGGTTTTTCTGGCGCTCGGATTAGGGTGACGACCTACAACATTGGTGGCATTTCTGGTGAAGCGTACGCAGTCTGTTGTGACTGGTTGGTTATACAACGTGAAGCCGACATAGTGCTGATTCAGGAACTGCATTGGGGATGCGGGCAGGGTGAGAACACCTGGCGGATCGGCGCCTAGCAGGCGGTCGTTTCGGCTGACCCTGCCAACAGGGTGACGTCAGCTTCTGCAGCTGGATTCCGGGGAGGCTGCTTCACGTGCACTGCGAAACCAAGCTGCTTACAGCGGACGCTGTCTGGGCAGTGGATGAGCGCAATGAGGGTCGACGACAGCATGTTTGGCGACAGTTGGGCAAGCTTGTACAGGGCCTGCCGCGTCGTAACCTGCTGGTACTCGGGGCGGATGCCAATGCTAGCTGCCGCTACTCAGCTGGATTTGTGGGTCGAGGGGTGCTTGACAATAACGCCCGCAACACGTCGGAGGACTTCATGCAGCTCATTCAAGTCAATCAGTTGGTGCTGCTGAACACATGGGGCCTCTCGCGTAGCTCGGCCTCGCACACCTTTTCCGACGAGACCCATATAAATCTCAGATTGATTTCCTTGTCACTCGTAGACCTGTTGCAGACCAGCAATCCAGGACAGCCTCTGCGATACACTTTGCCCTCGCACCATGGCGGTTTGGGCCGAAACACAGACCTGTTGTAGGTAGCCTGCCTGGGCAGGCAGGCTGCAATTTAACTAAGCCCCGACCAACTCTGATGCCAGAGTACAAGCCCAGCGCATTCGCGAGGCCTTTCGTCGTGGCGGCAGATTGCCAATAGCTGAATTGAACCGGCGAGCTCTGGTGTTATCCCGGACATTCCTGTGTCCCAACAGCAAACCCCGAACGAGAAGTAAGCACAACGCTCTGTTTGAAGTTGTCAAACCACACATTGCTGCCAGCCTCAAGGTTGGGTCTCAGGGCGGTTTATTTCGGAGGGTCTTTGATGCCTTGAGGAGGTTTCGTGACTTCTCTCGGCAAAGCCGCAATCTGAGGGCCAGCTCTTGTGGGGCGCGACGTGCAAGACTCGAAAGTCTTATAGATCAGGCGCAACAGGCCGCTGCCATACATGTCACTTGCCCAAGACGAGACGACTGCCGACGTGCATTCGCTCTGCGGAAGGGCACTTGCTGTCAGCCTGCGGTCAGTCTTGCGCCAGTTTTGCCACTTCGAGACCGCATATGGCAATGATAGTTGTGACCCTCCCCCTGTGTTCCCGAGTGGTTTAGGCCTCGATGTTACGGTTGAGGAGGTTGGAGAGGCAATTAGTAGTCTCAAAGCTGGCAAAGTCGTGCCAGAAGGCAGCCTTCCGACTCTGCCCCGAGTCCTTCTCGTGCTATCTGCATTGGGAACTACATATAACTCACATGCCTACCCACCAGAGATCTCGGAGTGCGCATTGTCGTTGCTGCCTAAGCTAGGCAAAAGTAGTCGCATGCCCAAAGACCTCAGACCACTTGGCCGCCATGGCCTTCAAGATCGCAGTGCCAAGATCTTTGCGACAGTGCTCAAGCACAAGGTCATGGAGCAAGCACGCACTGCTCTGAAGTGTTGCCCGCAGTATGCCTACAGCAAGGGTAAGGCCATTGACGAGGCCATCCTTAGGGTTGGTGACCATTGTCGGCTGGTGCGTACCTTGCTGCCGCAAAGCACTCTCAGCATACATGCCAAACGAGCCGGCGGTCGTGCCTCCTCATGTCATGGCGGTGTCACGCTAAGCTTGGATCTTAGTAAGGCTTTCGACTGTGTGCCTCGATGGGCGATGGTCCGATCCCTTGACCATGATGGGGTAAGTAAGGACCTGCAGGCTGCCATACTGTCGATTCATGAAAGATGTAAGTATCACATTCAACATGGACCATACAAGCGTGCCATTGACATGAAAAAGAGCATATGTCAAGTCTGTGCGCTCTCCCCCTGTCCTTACAGCACTTTTACGGTCTGGCTGTCTGATTTGCTTGCATCTCGCTAGCACCAGCAAAACCTGGGCTGATGCCTGCGCCACTTTGTTTGCCGATGACACGCACTTATACACTGGGAGGTGCACTGCGTTGCCGATCTCGAATTCTGCTGCCACTGCATAAGAGAGACTTTTGTTGTGTTTCGGGAGGCAGGTCTGCAGGTGAATTCCAATAAATCGGCCCTAGGTGTCGTGGCCATTAAAGGCAACGCAGCCAAACAGTGGCTTCGGAAACGACAACAGCGCACGGCCCATGGTCGCTGAATTAGTGTGGGAACCCCCACCATCCGCTGTGCATATCCCGCGTGAGGACAAGATGTTATACCTGGGCATAATTGCGTCCTATCACAACTTCGAACTGCAAACGTACCGGCATCGCTTACAAGCTGCAAGGGCGAACAGGCAAAGCTTGCTTAAGACCCTTCATGTTGCTGGTTTGTCGTGCTCCTACCCTGAATCCTGCCCCTCATCAATTCACTCCAGCAACAGCCTGCCCCACTTCACCTCCGCAGACCTTACTGGAGCAACCTGACTCTTGCTCTGCGGTTAAAGCTGACTGGAGAGGCCTTGCGAGGAATTGTGAATACAGTTGTGAGCTACGCACTTATTATGCTCTGTGTGGGCAGTATGTGCATATGGTCGGACCGGGCCTCAAGCAGCACCTCCTTGGCACACCCCACTGACTACGCACGCAATCAAGCGGAAGCTGAAAGTAGGTGCCATAGCCATAGCCTCGGCCTGCTTGTCGAATCCCCGTGCCGTTTCTGTGGAGCCCAGCACAAGGCACCGAAAATTCATCTCAAGCGGTGTCCAGTGTTGTTTCAAGCCTCCTTTGTGAATCTTGTGCTTCGTGATCTGCCACAGGACTCTCAGAATGGACGTGCCGATGGAGAGCCAAGCAGCCCTGGCACGGGCGGAGTTTGCGGAGGTTTTGGAGACAAGGAGAAAGCCGCCGAAAAGTGGGAGGAGCAGGAGAGGAAGCCTAAGTACTCTCGGGGAGAAGAGGAAGGAGGCAAAGGAGGGCCCTGGAGTTCGGGCTCAGGCTGGGACCCCAAGCAATCGTGGCGCCAGCCAGACGATCGCAAGCAATGGGGAGACCAGAGCGAAGGCACTCTGGACACCCAGACGCAGCACCGCATTTAGGATGGCGCGTCTCTCCTTGTGCCGAGGCTGCAGGATCCGGCCGACTGGATCCGACTGGACGGAGAAGAACGCCGCGGGCCAGGTGAAGTCCGGGCCAAAGGTGATGCTGATCTTCCGGAGCGACTCGGAGAAGGTTTCCCGAGCGGAGCTCACCAGCTGGGTCAGTCAGGCCTCGACGGAGATGGACCCGGTGTGGCAAAACTATGTGTGGAACACCAAGGACAAAATACAAGAGAGGTCGGAGCAGCACCCAATGCCCACAAGCGGCCTCCTTGGATATGTTGTTCCAAAAATCAATTCTGGCAGCTCCAGCTGTTCTGCAGCGTTGTCGCAGCACAAAGGGATTGGAAGGGGAGTTCGAGGGGGAGTTCCAGTCGGAGGTGGCGCTCTTAAATGGATCGGGATGCGGAGCAATCAGGCGCAGCTGTGCTACCAAGAAGGAGGAGTGTTTCAAGGCAGTTGAGCAATCGCAAGTCGGCAGTGCAGCGCCGCCGGGTCTGACGGAGCCGTGCCAGGTGTGGGCCGTCGAGCCCTGGCCCATTACCGTCGACGCCATCAGCAAAGTCACGGCTTCCCTGCGTCGAGGCGGTTACAAGTCGGCCCAGAACCACTTCGACGCTGCAGCGTCGTACCAGGAGAGGTTCCGGCAGGAGGCGGTGGACCCATTGCTCAAGAAGGCCATGCGGCGGTTCACACATAAAGCTATCTGTTGTGATTTGGATGTAGAATAGCCTAACACTGGGTTCCTGAAAACGTACACAGGTAAGGCTCACGAGAAGCCCGTGCGTATGTGTATATATATATATCTTGCTGGCCATTCCTGGGAAACTCAAACAATTGTTCTTCCTTCTGTAGGAGCCGGCAGATTCTTGCTAATCTCAAGCAGCAGAGACCCAGCACAAATTCACAGTTGTAGTCTAGCTGCTTAAGAAAGTATATTAGACCATAATGTCGAGAGATTTGGAGTTTTATGTTTGTTTAGTGTTGCTCTTGTTTGCAAGGGTACGAAGTTGCGGACATGCTGAAGCTCGACTTGAAGGATCCAGCTCAAAAGCCTGTCCGCGAGGCGACCTTGCAAGACATGGATTCGGACAGCGACTGGGACGAGACCAACCCCATTGAAAAAACAAAAGCTGCGTCGATACAGTTGGCAGAAGCGTGAGGGAACAGAAATCATCTTCTCATCCAAAGAGAGCACGGCTGTGAACTGCAGCAAGGATGTGACCAAGCATGTGGCGAAAAGAGGTTTGAAGATGGTCGCAGAAGGATCCGAGGCGGCCCCGGCTAACCCCGACCCCAGCAGCGTGAAGATCGAGCATTTGTGGGTGCTTCCGGCTGAGAACCTCGTGAAAGAGCTGAACACCTTGTTGGCCAAGCTCAAGGGCTACACGAACCAATTTAAGAAGTCGCGAGTGCAGCTGAAGGCATCCCCGAAGGCATCCGAAGCGGCCTGGCTCAGGCAGTCACTAAGCCTCTACTTCATTATTTCGTCTTTTCCCATTCATGCATGTTTCCGGTTTTGCACTTTGGCATCCATGCGTGTACTCAGGCTCCTGACTTAACCGGTTCCATCCAGAAACTGGACGAGATCGAACATAGCAGCTAGCTTGGAGTTGACAATGAAGGATCCGAAGAAGTTGGACGAGAACGAGTGCAAGGCTTTCGTCGAGCAGTGCCAAAGCAGGGTGAGTGCAGGGAACCTGGTGAAGGACATGTCTGAGGGGATGAAGAAGATGTGCAGCAGTGTGCTGAGGCAGAACAGTAGCAGCTCCATCGGTAATAAGTAGATGGCTAGGGCATTGCCAAGAAGCTACTACTACTACTACTACGACGACGACCACCACCGCCACCACCACCAACCCGGCTCCTGCTCCCGCTACTACTACTACTACTACTACTACTACTACTCCTACTCCTACTCCTAGCCCTACTCCCACTCCCACTCCTACTCCTACTGCTACTGCTACTGCTGGTGCTGGTGCTGGTGCTACTGCTACTACTACTGCTACAGTACTACTCCTACTCCTACTCCTACTGCTACTACTACTGCTACGGCTACGGCTACAGCTGACGACCACTACTACTGCTACCACGACGGGGTCCTGGGGTCGTCCACGTCCATGGGGGCCCCGAAACCCGCCATACCGTGGGGAATAGCTGCAAAACGCGTGCGTGTTCCGAAAGGCCTCTCCGGGCGAGGTCCCGCGCGGCCCGGTGGAAAAAAGCGGGTCCGATGAAGCAGGTCGGCGGCACTGGCGGTCGTTAGCTAACTAGTTAACGGAATCGCCTACCTAAGCAGCTAAGTGACCAAGTAACTCGCTCGCGTGCTTCAACTAACCAAAAACTGAATGACTAATTAACTAGCTAGCTGAGTAGCTAACCAGAACTAACCACAGGTTGTTGTGTTAAGTAGGAAGAGAACTGAGCTACTTAGGTACGCTTGCTTACAACAAAATCGAAGCACGAGGAAATGTGTTCATGACTTTGGAAAGCAAAGCAGATCTCAAACTTAGGGCGGCATAGCTCGCGATCGCCAAGCGAAGCTGTACTACAGGAGCACAAGGGGATGGACTCGGCATCCCTCTTCCTTTTGCTGTGGACAGTCATGTACATGTACATGTTCAACTGCTGGCCGTGGCCAGCTCTCCGAAGCTCTATAAAGTTCGATTTCCAGTGTACAGTTTCTAGTCAATCGCAACCGAATTCATTTAAAGACACTTTCAGACATTCGGGCTAATTATGTCGTTGTTTTGGGGTCCACACAATTTTGACCTGAAATGTCTGCCTGCAGCTCACACGCCTTTACACGGCCTCCCCACACCTGATTCCGGAGTGCGTTTGGTACGAACCCTCATCGACCGCGGGCCAACAGGTGACAGGCAACGGAATCGAAGTGAACCGTCGTGACCTTATCCTCGTGTGCGAGCCACGGGCCCAGTGCTTGACCAGCCATGTCCTCGCGCAAGTCTGTTACGGGGCCAAGATAACACTTTCTTGCTTGGACGTCTTTTCTGCAAGTCTTGCAACTTTCACTTGGAGCCCGAAGCACAGCGTCAGTAAAACTCGTCACAGAACGTCGTGTGGGATAGGTAAGCTGGTTCTCTTGCAAACTAAGTACCCCCAGTACCCCAACTCCAAAAACAGCCATGTTCTCCGGTGCCGGAAGACTGGATTCCCAATCCAAATGTCGCGTAGAGGTCGTATAGAATAGAAGGCTTGCATGACTCAACTGTAACCCTACTGCAGCCCACCCCGAAGCCATCCTGCACACAAGCTCGAATTTCTTTTAGGCCTCGAACTACTTGTCTCACCTTGTGAGTGTAGTTAACCCTGGCGACCTGCATGGCTGGCAGCTACTTGGACCAAGCATTGGTCCTTCCAAGCAACCAGCGGCCTCCTGGCTCCACTGTTCTCATCCAGTGGACGCAGAAGATCCTTGCCTCTCAGCCTTTGGGGGCAGTTCGACAACCATAAGTCAAAAGCATGGCCATCGAGGCCATCAACAACAAACACAGAGACACACATACACACACACGCATGCACACACACACACATATGCATGCACACACACACACACTCACATGTACACACACACACATGTACACACACGCACAGGCACACGCACAGCCACACCCACCCAGACCCACATCCCCACCCCCACCCCTACGCACCCGCACGCGCACCACCCCGACCGCCCCGCCAGACCACCCCGCCCCCTCGCCCGCACGCACGCGTGCACACGCGCATACACGCCCACACACTGAAGGATTTCCGCAAAGAGAAAAGGTCGAGAAGAGCAAAGAAGGGTGGGGCGGGGTGCTGTTGAATGAAAAATAATAATGTTGATGGTGATGATGATGATGATGACGATTATGAGATGAGAATTTTGTGCCAAGTATGCCAGACCAAAGGAATGGCATACGAAAACAAGGTGAGATGATCCGTCAGGGGTAAGGTTTCAAGCCCCTTGCTACGCCAGCCACAAAGGAATGACGAAGCACGAAATGAAGTGAAAAATGAGTGCCCCGCCAGCTGCCCACGACGCGGGCCGCAAGGCAGGTATGTTACCTGAGGTGTAAGTCAGAGCTTCGTTGTGGGCAAAGCCCCTTCACACCTCCTCCGCCCCCCTTCGAACATTTGAGTCGCTTCAATGAAATGCAAAGCGATGCAATAGGAGTGACCCTTTGCTCCCATGTGTTAGTCAAGTTCACACACACACAAACCCCACTTTGGCGCAGCTGCAACCTGGAAAGCAGGACATAAAGGGAAAGGAAGAGGAATGAGAGGAATGAACAAAAATGTCAAGGATGGTTTCTCTGTGGTGATCCAAATCACTGGAGCAAGGAATGCCCGAAAGGAGGTGAAGGACAAATGTCAGCTGTGATTGGTGAAGAGAACCAGCAGGAGAATGGCCAAGGAGTGCCTGAAGCATTATTTGTGCGGTCAACTGTCTTGGAATCAAAGCTGGCGCAAACGGTCAGTGTGATTGCCCCCACTGACAGCACGGCCGGCAAGCAAATGGCGACGCGCTTTGGCACTGGCAAGAAAACGAGGCATGTGGAACTGAGGTTCCTGTATGTACACAATCCTCCTCCGAGAATGGCCCACGCACTCCCCTCCCCTACCCTACCCTCGTGCGCGTCCGCATGCATACCACTGCGCACCCTTCTTCTCCGTACGCCGTTGCACTGAAGTGCAGTGTGAGGGACGGTGTAGGTGAGCCGCAGAGATTGCAATGCATGTCCTTGATTGATTGCATGGCATGTCACAGTGCGCGCACACACACACACATGCATACATACATGCATGCATACGTTCGTACATACATACGTACATACAAACAAACAAACATACATACATACATACTTACATACTTACACACACACACATCCAAGCACGATGGATCTACAGCCGAGTCCTACCGCAGGACGGTCGGCGAAAACAGCCGGTCTCAAAGATTATCGCCAATTCGCTTGAGCCGGATTCTTCGACTTAACCTCCATTGCCCGGAAAGGTAAAGCAAGCCGGAGCTGCATTCAAGCAAACCCACTCGGGCCTCGTACTGACCCAGCCCGCATCTGGCCCATCCCCTTCGATCTTACGGAAGTGCAGCCGCTCGCCCGAAAGCTGCAGCTCCTGGCGAGATGACTTGAGATGGGTTTGAGTCGGCTTGAGCGACACACCTCCCTGCTTGCATTCGATATCTCCGTCATCGCACAAATCAACAAGTAGTTCATCAACAGAAGGAGCTATCATTTCAAGAGGTCTCGGGTTTGGACTCTCGCGACTCGAACGATGCAAGCTCGGGCTGGGGTATCGCAGTATGCCTTCCACTCCGTTGGACGACTCGACACATGCGCGCACTAAATGACATGTGCAGTGGGAGGTCTCGTGCTTCTGCAACTTTGGAATCTGTTTCCAAAAGCCCGGACCTCGATGATGGCATTGGTGCCCAGTCTGGCGTTCAGCTGCGCAGAGCTCGTCTCTTTCCTTTCGCGCACCTGGTTTGCTGTTTCCTTGCTTCAAGAGCAGGGCTGGAGCGGGAAAGGGAAAGTCCTTTGCCTGCTTCGGGGCCCTGAGAGTTCGCCACCGTTTGCAAGTAAGCTTCTTCACAAGCTGGATGGTAAGCCGAAGCCCATCAACCGTGCTAACTGTACTGCCGCTCCCCTGAACCGTTATGCCTAACGCTCCGCACTCTCAATATGTCGCCTTTGTGCTAGTGATTAGCGAAAGCGAAAGCTGAAGAGGCTTTCGTGCCGCAATTCCTGCAGGCCAGGGTGCAAGGATCCCACCCTTGTCGCCTCCACCAATTACCTTCCAGCGCGGGAGGCCCGACATCAGGCCCCATATTGGGTCTCTCGGAACCCTCAAGCACCCTACGACGATCGTACAGAACTTATGGTCATGTCGAGCTTGGTTGCTGCAGTAACTCTGTAACTTGAGCCCGGCTTTCCTCAACAGGATCCACATTTGACATGAGATTGTGTAGTCGACCTTCGTCAAGCCGCTGCAAAAATGAGAAACGAGACAAGCATCCCGCATGTGGAGATCAAGCCGGAGTAACTCACAGGACGGTAAACCAAACTCTACAGTTCAAGTTCACGACACGACTGAGGTGTGCCAGCCATCCTTGAGCAAAGGCTGTTGCACATGCTCTCTGTACAACTTTCAGTTCTGAGGCAACATCAAACTCAAGAGTGAAGCCTGCCTGAAACGGAAATTATGTAACGCTTATCAAACATTGGGCGTGAGCTTCAGCACCATGTGTTGTATAGCAGCCCAAACACACAACCGCATCGAAACAGACAATTCTAGCAGCTAGCCGTCCCACAATGTCCCACATGCACCCCGACGACATACGACCCAAGTATGAGGGTAGCTTTGGCAAGGGACTAGAACAAATGGAGCTGCCGTCAAATGGCTGCGCATGATCCTGTCGATCATGTCGTCCGTCTCTAGTTGCGGTCTCCATGTACATGTGTGAGCAAGAGGTGGTGACCTGGCAACTGCCTTTGTCGCCACTCAAACTCAAGCAATCCCTGCCTCAGCATGTTCGACCGATCCGCGCACAGCGAGATCTCTTGATACAAACCTAGTGGAAGTTTTCTCGGCACTTTCCCGGGCATGCATCAGACCCGTATCGTTGTTCGGTTCGATGCAGAGGGATCATGCTATCGCGGAATCGTGGCTGGGGCTGGCAGGGCCCGAGAAACGCTTACTCTTGCTTTGATTTCATCATACTATGCAGACCCAACACTGAGCTTTATGCGGGTTGTTCATGCGCCGGGCTGCCGGTCAGCTTTAAATTCACAAAATGCCTGCCTGTCGGCAGGTCACCGAGGAGCTTCAACAGGCAGCTGTCTGATGCAGCTCGGGTTGCCAGTTTCGACCCGATCCAACTGGTCCTGCAACAGGTGGCGGTAATCGCTGTGACTCGCTGTCAAGGTTTGGGCGGTGCGCAGTTTGTACAAGACCGTAACCAAATGCGAGCACGATGGATAATGCCAGGCATGCCAGTCTTCAGCTCCGCACCTGGCTGGCATGCTGTGAAAACCTTCATTCAAACACTGATCGTATAACGAACATTACGAGACGCATCTACTGGGTGCTGCACTTCTGTTTGGGCGAGATGCAGCATCCCAACCGAACTCCTCGCCTTTTCCCCTGATAATCGAAGACTGCCTTAAATCCCAGGCAACCTTTTTGGGGACAATGCGCTGGGCTCAACTCTTAGGAGCCATGTGATCTGCCTTGGCGCGTCGTGGCAGCTCTCGTAGCTTCTGCCGCCAGTTGTGCTGTCGTCCTGCGAGGGTCGCCATGTCTGTTGATGACCGAGAATAAATCATCGGGCTTATAGATTGTATGCAGCGATCAATTTCAACATGCATGCTTCTGCAGCCTTCGCGGTCCGGCCAGGCGGGTCATAGATCGTCTTTCGGGGTGACGGTTTCCGGTAGCTGTTGTAGTGGTACAGTGGACAAGCAGCACTCTATAAATGGAACTATGGCCTCGGGATGACAGGAAATTCATGAAAGTGTCGGAGGCACTTCAAGCAGCCTGCGCCACGAACCTGGAGTTACTGCCCTAGAAAGCAAAGCAGACCTGGCTTCCGCTGTGGGACATGTGCATCGGTGGCGGATGGGCACCCTCCATCCACCGCAATCCCCACCAGACTCAACACTGCTCAACAACGACAGCGACAGACACTCTAACAGTCACTAGCAGACTAACACTGTAACAGCACGACTTGCACTTGTCACGACGTGCCCCACATCGGATTGACGGGATCACGTGCTCCGCTGGCATTTTCCGTCCCTAGGCAGTCCAGGGCAAATCCCGCGCAGCGTTGCCGAACCAGGCTCGCTGAGGCTGCTGAGATTGTGGTGTGTACCTCTGGGAACAGAGGTAAAGCGCGGACAGGCTCGGCTTGGTGAGCTGGTACAATGGGCAGTGCTTGGCTCTGCGTGGCTCTGCGTCAGGCGCCGGACCAGGGCCCCCGTAAGAAAGGCAAGGAACACTGGAGCATCTGCTCTCATCCTCGGCGAACTCGCTTTGACTTGTCACCGTGATGGAGAAGCTATCTAGGACTCGACAGGCAAGGCTCCTGGATGAGGAGCCACCACCCGTGTGAAAGCGTCTCTCATTGGCCGGCCAAGGCTGGTCGCGTCCTTGGACAAATAGGAGAGGTTGCCTTTACTTTGATAGAATGATCGAGCACTGGAAAAAGTCATACACAACCATGACTCAGAGATGACATGAAGCGCAAGCTGCTTGCAGGCCAGCCTGGTGCTTTCACACACCATGGCAAGGCACTATAAGCTCTTCTTCCTGTCAACACACCTTGTTAGCAAGTCCATCATGTCCGAGGAGCCCAACAAGCTTGACAGCAAGCATCGTTCGTTAGGCTTGGGCTGGCAGCCTCGCGCACATCAAATTACAGCACGGCTCATGGGAAGCGGTTGAAAGACCCCGCCCGGCAGGCTGTCGAGGTTGTAGCGCCCTGTGAAATTAGGACTTCCATCGTCCAATCTTTGGAAACCCCCGTGCATGTTGTCGCCCTCTTTAACGTTGAAGAACTGCAAAGCCTGCCGTGCCCATAAAGGCCCACCCGATGGAAGGCTTTATGCCTCCCGAAGAAAGCTGAAGGCCCCCCTGGTCTTGCTGACAGCGAAGGTGGCTCAACCCCTAGCCAACCGGGAAGAGAGCTCTCTCGTCTTCCTTCTTTCTGTCTACCTTTCTTCTGTACTGCCTCAGAAGTCTGCAACAACCCATACCAGCTCCCCTCTGTCTGTCCGTCTGCCTGCCTGCCTGCCTGCCTGTCTGTCGCTTCTTCCTCAGGGCATTGGAGACGGGTTAAGTCCCCCGGCCTTTTGGCTCCCCATTTGTTATGGGGTCTCTTTCTTTCTTTCTGCAGGGCATAGGGGTCGGTCGGCCCGACCCTCAGGCCTTTATGGGGTGTCTCTCTCTCTCTCTCTCTCTTGCTTGCTTGCTTGCTTGATTGCAGGGCGTGGGGCCTGCGGGGCAGCACCCCGAGGACCCCTGTGCGCAGCGTTACGCCAGTGTCCGAGTTCGGTCTGTGTGACACGTTTGGTGGACGCAAGGGAGCTGCGAGGCTGTTGTGCTCTTCCCGTCATACAAGATGAGCCCCGTTATATCCCGTTAGCCTCGTTGAGCTCCTCTTGAGTCCGTGTTTCCCTGTAGCGCGCTCGCTCAGCAGGTCAGGCAAAATGCGCACCACTGAAGTAAGATAGAACTGGGACTACTGTGCTAGACCCTCGCTGCATACACTCTGTCTGCTGGCTAAGGCTAAGGAATAAGATGCAAAAGCATGGCGTTGAGTTTCCGGCCCTTTTGCGAGCAGGCTGCAGTTACGGGGTTCCTTTCCAGGTACAGGAAGCGGGACGAAGGGTATACGCAACAGCACTGGGGCAAACAGCTTCGTTTGGGTCCCCGATTGTCTGCTCGATTCTCTTGCTTGCTTGCTTGGGGTTTGGGGTCAACGAACCCTGGCCCATGGGCCAACCCCACAACGGGCGCAGGTCTGTCTTCGAGACCCCTATTCGGAGAGGTGAGCATACAAGGACCCCCAAAAAAAACATCCCTGCTGAGACCATGACCGATAGACACCCCCGATATGTTTCACCTGGGTCCTCCACTCTGCTTCCAACGGTGTTTCTGTGTAGCTTTTTGGTCGAGCTCCACTCTCCCAGAAAGCATGTCAGTGCTGGTCCCCAAAATCGCACCAGAGAAAAAAATCACCGAGCTAGGTTCTTAATTCACTTGGCGGACCAGCTCTGGATTGAATCACTCTACCGGATTACACCAACCTATATAGCTGCCTCCCCACCTGATCCCGAACGATTCTCTTTCTTTCGCCAGGGCTATGGGCCGGAGGATTGCTCCCCCTGCGAACGATTCTCTCTCTCTCTCTCTCTCTCTCTCTCTCTCTCTCTCTCTCGCTCTCTCGCTCTCTGTCTCTCAGTCAGATTCAGCAAAAAAACTTGCGAAGGTAATTTCCAGGCACTTCGCTGCTTCTGGATGACACTGGCTACGTCAGACATTTGATATTACTCAGAAGAAAGCTGCGC